GCATTGTCATTGATCTCTTCGAGGACTTGGAATAGACCATCTCCCATGTGGCTGTAACTTGGACTTTCTTTGTTCTGGAAAGCGCTCTTTCCTCAAGTGCACCCAAACCCAGTTTCCTGGTTCAAATGTAACGCGTTTTTGTCCGAAGCATAATACTTATTTTTCTTCTCAATTTAGATCATCTTATTTTCATTGAGTGATTTTACCAATTCGGCCTTATTCTTTCCATTTAAATTACCTCTTTCATTCGCAGATAAAGAAATTAAATCCAAAGATATTAGTGGATTAAAACCATATACAATTTCAAAAGGTGGGTAAAAACAAGTAGAAGGCTCTATTATATGCAAATTCTATAAATGGTAAATACTCTCCCCAACTCTTCAAATTCTTATTAACTATTGTGCGAACAATTGTATCATAGTCCTATTAACTACCTCAATTTATCTATCAGTTTGTGGGTGACAAGTTGTGGAGAACAATAGCTTGGTCCCTAACTTATTCCACAAAATCCTCCAAAAGTGATTAAGGAATTTAACATCTCTATCCGATACATGCTTCTAGGAATCTCATGTAAGCACACTAATTCCTTAAAGAATAGATCTGCAATATTAATGGCACCATCGATTTTATGACATGGAATGAAATGTAGAGTTTACTAAATCTATCTGCCCCACAAATTTGGAATATCTTCCTATCTTAGTCCTGGGTAAACCCAACACAAAATCCATAGACACATCAACCAAAGGTTCACTAGAAACAGGTAATGGCGTATATAAAATCTGAGGTAAAACCTTGGCTTTCGCCTTTTTACAAGTGGTGCGTCTACTACAAACCCAATCAACATCTACTTTCACTTAGGCCTATAAATTTTTTCACTTAGCATCTCATCTCTAAGGTCTTCTTAAACCCAAAATGACCCATTAGATCTCCACTATGTGCCTCACGTACTAATAATTCTCTCATTAAACATTAGAAACACATAACTTATGTTCCCCAAATAAATATTCACCATGCCTAAAGAATCTATTCACAGCACCCTTATCACATGATTCGTATTTATTAGAAAAATCTGGATCATTAGCATACATTTCCTCAACATATTCAAACCCTAGCAATTTAGAACCTAAAGTCGTTAGAAGTACATACCTCCTTGATAAAGCATATGCTACAAACATTTTCTTTACATTGTTTGTACCGAATAACATATGAAAATGTCGCAATGAAATCCATCTACATTGCATGTCTCTTGTTTAGCTTGACTTGACCCCTTAAATGCTTCAATGACTCATGACTTGTGTGAATTACGAATTCCTTTGGACATAGTAGTGTTGTCATGTCTTCAAAGTTCGAACAAGTGTTTACAACTCCTTGTCATGTGTAAGATAATTGAGAGTTGCTCTACTTAGCTTTTCATTAAAGTAAGCGATTAGCCTTCGTTCCTACATTAAGACAACTTCAATACCGATTCCTAAGACATCACATTCAATCTCAAAAGTATTGTTATAGTTAGGTAATGATAAAAAGAGTATTCTACACAACCTATCTTTAATAGTATTAAAAGCATGAAATCCTGCACTTTTCTTTATAATCTCAGTGAGTGGTTTGTAGGCTAGCTAATCCATGAAAGCTTCTTACATCGGTTATGCTTTTAGGTATTTGCCACTCCTTGATGGCCTTGATGTTTTCTTCATCCACTTATATACCCTTAGCACTAACGACATAACTAAGAAAAACAATTTTTTTATGCAAAATGTGCACTTTTTAAATTTAGCATAAAGTTGTTCTTGTTGAGCTATGGTTGATTTCATCCTTAATGCTTTGATCATAATAAACAAGATTTAATATTGCTTCTAACAATTGATTTTGAGTGATNTTTTGATTCGATTCGATTCTGAAGAGAGCCGAACCATGTCCATGTTGACCTGTGGTTGATTTCATCCTTAATGTTTTGATCATAACAAACAAGATTAATATTATTTCTAACAATTGATTTTGAGTGATGATAGTTCAATATTAAAATCAATCAAGTATTACCAAAATCAACATATAAATCGGATTCAAAATAAAGATCAAAGTGGAAGTTAAGCATTCAAATCAAATCTTTTAAAACGAGAGCATAAAAGACAAACGTTAAGAAAAAGCAAGGTCAAGAGCATGAAAAAATCATCAAAGAAAGATCAAGACGAGAAGTCTAAGAGGTAAACTTCGAAACAAGATAAAAAAACTAGACTTCTTAGTTTAAATATAAAGGTACTAATACTTTGATATTTAGTAATAAATGATAAAAGCTCAAAAATCGCTTTATGCACGAAAAGATTATTTTACAAGAACACTTGCATAAAAAATTACTTTTCAAAGGTCTTCAACTTGATATTTTAAACTTTTTTAAAATGTTGCTTAATCTTTCAAAAGCCTAAATCTAAAAATAAATAAATAAGTCAAAGTCAACCTGACGTCCGGTTCACCAATGGTCATTTTTTTAACCATTCTAATTTCGACACACAACAGCGAGTTTAGCCCTTCGGTTCAGTGGCGGATGTCCGGTTGGGCAGAAACTTTGGGCTTTTTGATTGTTATAAATACCACTTCACTATGTATTCATAAACAACTAGAAGAAAGCTTTCTTGTGAATATATTTGTAAAATATCTTCTTTGAACTTACAATTTTACATTCATTTCATTTATTTCTTCGTAAAAAAAAACTTTGATTGTTGAATCGAATTTCTTGAATCATTTCTCTCATCAAAGTTTTTCATTTATCTTTGTGATTAACTTATTTATATCAATTTTAAANCATTTATCTCATCAAAGTTTTTCATTTCTTTTTAAGATTAACTTATTTATATCAATTTTAAAAGAGAGATACATTTTTGAAGAAGATCTTTACTTTTACATTACATAAACTTTTCTACTTCTTCATATTGAAAACTTTGATTCATTGAATCAAACTTGTAAAATCATCATGTTCATCAAAGTTTCTCATTTCTCTCTAAGTACTTAATTTATTACAATTATTCATTAAAAGAGAGATATATTTGAGAAGATTTTTTTGAACCTACATTACATTTATTTCTTCGTCATATTTCATTGAAACGTTTTGATTGATTGAATTTAAATTTTGATTATTATATTCATCAAAGTTTTTCATCTCACACTTGAGCTATCATTTATTACTATTCATTGAAATGTTAACATATCTTAGTACTTAACTTGTTTGTATTATTTATCAAGAGAAGTATTCCATTGTAAAATCACTTTGATAAAGTGTGAGTAGTGTAAAAGTCCCTTAGAGATCAACATTATATAAGGATCGGTACTCCTTGTTGTAAATCACCATGTGGGTCATATTGAGGTCTCGTTAAAGCTCAATAGTGAATCGTGTTGAGGTCTCGTAAAACTCAATATTGTATAAGGATCGGTGATCTTGTTTATAAGTCACCGAAAGCGTTGTAAAGGGTTGGATTGCACTATAAGTAAATCAATATAGTGAAAAATATAATTGTGCCGGAGAGTTTGGTAATGGAGGACGTAGATCATTGCTTTGGATCGAACCTCCACATTATATTGTTTGCATCATCTCTCCCTTTTACTTATTATTTTTATATTTGTGTTTATTATTTGAATTAATCTATTTAATCTTGCTTGAATTTAGATTAATTATTCGAAAAAGTTTTAGAAACCAATTGACCCCCCCTCCCCGGTTAGTTATTCTTGGGCTATCGATTGTTATCAAAGTAAGGTGCTCATTTTGAAATTAAGATTCAACAATTTTGAGCAATGGCTAGCCACATTTTTTCCAAATCTTGAGGGGCATTCTACAAATCGTCCTCCTTTCTTTGATGGTACTCATTATAACTATTGGAAAGTTAGAATGACAATTTTTATTCAATCAATAGATTATAACATTTGGGAAGTTATTGAATTTGGTTCCTATATGCCTAAAAAGGTTATTGAAGAAGATGGTAATTCGGATCAAATTGTTTCTAAACCTATCGATGAATATAATGAAGTAGATAATCAAAAATTAT